AGGATTACAATTAGGATGTGCATAACCATGCAAACCTGCTCAAACACCCTCGATTGGTTTATGATCTCCCATTGATGTGCCGGTTAACCATACAGGCTCCATCAAAAATCATAAACACGAGTTGTTTCATCATTTCATTTTTATAGTCCCAAATTAGTGTGCCGTTTAACCACACACGCTCCATTAACGACACATAAAGAAACAATGTGTATTTTCATGGATTAGCATACAATTTCACATTTTTCCTAAAGTAAGCAGAGTGAGATTTCTAAAGTGGGTTCTAGTACTTTATAGTATCATAATTTTAAGAGGTTATGTCCTATCAACCCGTTCGACTAATGACCTTCCACCATGCAAGGGAGCGGTGAGCGAGAATAGACACTCATTAAACGGTCATTTTATAGGTTGTTTCTTTATACCCCCATATAGCATGACTTCGTGAATTAGGCCTATTATTGATTGACAGACTTGTCTTATACATATAATATGTATTAAATTTTAATCATATATAGTATAAGGTGTATTTTAAATCTTTTCAAAATACTATGTTTAAATATTAATTATCTAAATTATCATATAATTAATAAATCAATTTAAACATATAATGAATTTATAATTATTTTTTTATTACATTACAATTAAATTAATTATTAAATTCATAAGGGATAATTCAATTTAATTTATCTAATTAAAAATTATCAAATAAGGATATCTCATAATATTTAGGGATTCATTAATTATCACACAAGACATTCAAAATTCGGAATCAAATAGAATTAATACAAGATAATTACCAAAAATAACACCATAAATTAGATTAGAAAGATAATTATCGAAAATCTGGAAAATTCCATTCTCACGTCGTGACAGATACATCGCCACGTCGTGAGAATAGTGTTTTGCGAAAAACAAGTTTAGTTCGATTCAACTCATGTGCAATCAATGTTTGACAAGCCTAAATTCTGATACCACTGTTGGGTTTTATAGAAAAGAAAATTGTACAATGAGGAAAATAATTAATTGTTAATAAAGTACATGCATCTTATAAAAGATCTATGTCATACACATTGATAGCAACATACAATGAACAACTAAACGTAGCATACCCTAGTGAAATTTTGAAATTACAAAGTATATGGTTACATACCTTTTGATTTGTTATTGCAAATAAGTCACTTCAATCCCTTGTAGGTCTTGGAAAGCTTAGCACCAAAAGGATGATGCCTCTAATGGCTCATACCCAAACCCTAGAACTAGAAGACAAGATGAGAGAGGAAGGATCCTGCTTTTCGGCTAGAGTATCCTTCAAGGAAGATTAAGAACGAATATTGATGCACAATGGGTCCTATTTATAGTTTAGGTAACTTAGGGACAAAGCAAGATTTGAATAGTTATATAATAAATTTAATTCCAATTTAAATCCTTTAATTATTATCATTTAGGAGGCTTTTGGAAACCTTAAGGAACTCCAGAAAACCGTCCATGACATGATGCTTCTAAAATTGTCTATTTTGTTCAACTATTAAACAATTACAATTCACCTCTTGTACCTTTAATTAATTCCAATGAATCCCAAATTAATTCCAGATTAATTCGGATTAATAATTAATCAATTTTAATTGATTTTTTTATTAATTTATTAATCATATAAATTAACAAATCAGTTATAAACAGTTGATCTCATATTAATTTATTAATCACATAATAAAATAATAAGCCAACTGTCTATTTCCAATTAATATATTAATCATATAGTTTATTAATAAATAATTTTCTTATAATATCTAATTAGTTTATTAATCATATAATAATCTAATAAATCATCATCTCTCTATAAATTTCATTTTAATCAAGTTCTAGTTATGAGGGCAACCCAAAAAGGACTTTGCTTCTAAGTACAAGAAAATACCAATTTAGTTACTGGCTTAGAAACCTTAATCAAACAGTTTTGACCATTTCTCAACTTAGAGCTTTAGATCTTGAAAGTTTGTGGTCTTATAATGGATAAAGTTAGAAACTTTATCCATTTAGACATCATGTTGATTCAGATATGAAGGTTGGAGACTTGGACTTTAAAGGAGTAAATTGAGAAAGATGCATTGTTGGTCCCTTTGAGACTTAAAGTCTAGATCTTGGTTTTTTGGACCATCTTAATGCATAAAGTTGGAAACTTTATCCATTATGAAGCTATTAGATACCATATATGATGTTATGAGCCTTGGTCTTTAAGGATTATGCTCTTTAAGGTTAGTGAATCACGTGGTTTTCTATTCTAGACTCGCCACTGATGGTGTTAATGGAGACGATGGTGGCAATGAAGACATAATAGACCCCAACTGATGGTGATGGAATATGAAATTATGGAGAAAGAAGTGACCAATGTATAGAAGGAATGTCATTTCCTATAAGCAAGCTAAACAATCTGCGAATGCTGAATCGAAACCGTCATCGATATCGTCTATCTGTCGAATTCAAACCCGAATTTCCCTAACGTTAAATTTTTTAAGAAAGGAGGGAGATGAAAAGGGTTAAGGGGTGAAATATAACATATCGTTTTTGGACGAAGAGCATAAATAAAAACTATATTGTTGTATTTTTTCTCAAATTTAGAAGTTAAAATACGACAACATCTTTGTATTTCGTAAACTTTTAGAAAATATGACGTACTTTTACAACGGACAATTCTATTTGTCGTAAATCATTAACATTCTACAAATGATGTCATACTTTCTAGGACATGCATTTTTGTTTGTCATAAGACTGTTGTGAGTCGTAATTCTTTTTTCATGAATTTTTTTTTCTAATAATGGGTTGAAATTTAGTCCCTAATAAGGCTCCCCACACATACATAATCGGTGCAAGTATATCTAAGACTGATATTTATTCCCTAATATGTTTCAATCAAAATAGTATACACTACTGATTTATTAGTCTCTGATATATGGTATATGTTAGTAAATAATTTACCTCAAAGACTAAAATTTAGTCCCTAAGAAGTTCCCTAAAATATCAACATTGCCACATGTTTATTTGGAGATTAAAATTCAGTCCTTAGTGATTTTTCGTCCAATGGCAAAATTAGGTCAGTCTATCTAAAAATAAACTTCAGTCTCTAATGAGTTTCCTTCCGAATACTAATCGTGCTTAATTAATCGGTTTTCCTGATACATCGTATCTATGACTATATAATCAGTCTCAAATACTAATTTATATTTTGGTATAAGTGTTCATTCGAATGTAAATAATGAATGTTTATAAGAAACAAGAATTCGGTCTTTATAATCTTTCCCTCCCAATGCCAAATTGGTGCAACTCTATTAAAGAATGATATTTAGTCCCTAATAATATCTTTAGAAATTTAAAATTGGCGCATATTTATTAGAGACTGAAATTTACTCCTTAATAAATTTCCCTCCAAAGTAAAAAATGGCGCTATACAATTTGAGACTAAAATTCAGTCGCTAATGTGTTTTCCTCCAAACCTGAATCGGCACAAACATATTAGGGACTAAATTTCAGTCTCGAATAGGTCTAGTCAGTCTCTAATTACTCAAACATTAAAATCAGTCTTAGATAGTATCTGAAACTGATTCATCAGTCCCAGATACATGGTATCCAGGACTGATTAGTCAGTCTTTAATAGTTTAGTCACATATGCCTATTTTTCTTGTAGTGGGAGACCACAATGTGGCTAAGGAAGGCCCACGACGTGGTGGTACTCTGCCTCTCAATTGTTTTGTCCTGACTCGGCCACAACGTAGCCAAGAGTTCACTACGACGTGGTGGTCAGTTGAGTTGACTTTGACCAATTTGACTTTTGGTCAAACTCGGGTAGAAGTGAGTATTTGACTTAGGAATAGTTTTGTTTTGGATTTAGGTAGTTGATTCTATTGTTGAGATTGTTGTGAAGCTTCTACTGTTTAGCCCAGGTGAGTTTCTCACTATACTTTGAAGTGCAGTATGTATCCTTTATGTGTTAGGATGTTTATGTGTTGTAGTGATTTGTTAGACATTGGTAGATCTATTATAATGGCATGTGTTTGTTGGTTATTAATTATTTGTTTTCATATGTCGACATATTGTGGTTGGGTTGAGGCAGATCTGCTCTGTGATGTAGGCCAAGAGACCCATACGGTCCGGTTGCTACTATAGTGCCTATCTAGCTAGATGTTGTAGGCTCATGAGAGCGGTCCAAGTAGATGTTGTAGGCTTAAGAGAGCGGTCCAACTAGTTGGTGTAAGAGAGCGGTCCAGCTATATGTTGTAGGCTCAGGTGGTGGTCCAGCCCTGTGCTGTAGACTTGGTGTGCATGCATTGTATATGTATTGTTGTATGAAGTATTTTGGGGAATTCACTAAGCTTTGGCTTACAGTTGTGGATTAAATGCTTTTCAGGTTTTTTAACAGTTCGTGGTAAGGGAATGCGTAACTGTACATACCGATCAAAAGTTTAATGATTTGAGATTCTGCGATACTTTTCTTTATAACTCTGATTTTGGAACTACGGTTTACAAACAAAGGATTTTACCTTGAATATGTCTTATAAAAATATGGGTTTATTCTAGTTGAAAAATAAAAAATTTATTCTGAAAATTGGGTAGTTACACATATCCATACTAGGTAGCCCTTATAATAAGAATATTATTTATAAAAATATAATATTAATGATAATTTTATCAAAATATCACAATCTGCAAAAGTTTCTAAATCTTAGATTTTTTATAAGATATTTAAATATAATTAATAATAAATAATATTTTTATTAAAATATTTAATTAAAAGGATGATTCTGTTTTTAATTACTCGTAAATATTGCTGTTTAGTATATTTCGTTTTTAAAATTTCACCTTTGAACAATTTTGCGCACAAAATATGTGGCTGAATGATCCACACATGCATAAATCATAAAACAAAAAGTTCGTTATATAAAGGACCAATGCTTTACACATTAGGCGTCAGTAATATCCAAATAAATATAACAACAGACTCAATCGATCGTAGCATGACGACCGCCGCACCTTTCTCTGGTCCAGTCGGAAATTCCAGATGGTCACTTGCTGGAATGACTGCTGTCGTCACCGGTGGTACACTTGGGATCGGCTATGCTGTGGTGGAGGAACTGGCGGAGTTAGGAGCAGAAGTGCACACCTGCTCACGTAATTAATCTGTACTTAACCAACGCTTACAAGAATGGTCCGACAAAGGCTTTAAGGTCACTGGATCCGTCTGCGACTTATCTTCTCGTCCCCAACGGGAACAGTTTGTGGAAAAAGTTACATCACTTTTCGGTGGCAAACTCAATATCCTAGTAAGTTCTTCCATATCTTACCCGAAACTCTACTTCCTTTTTTTTTTTCAGATGAATATGAAGACTTACTTCCACATACTTGTTTCCTGTAGATCAACAATGTTGGGACAAACGTATTTAAAACTACGTTAGAGTTTACCGCAGAAGAGTATTCCATGATCATGGCTACCAATTTGGAATCTTGTTACCATATATGTCAACTTTCACATCCTCTTTTAAAAGCTTCTGGAGCTGGAAACATTGTTTTGATTTCATCTGTTACTGGTCTGGTTCACGTTTCTGTTGGGTCTGTTTACAGTGCCACCAAAGGTATGGTTTGTTTGGCTCCATATTTTATATCTGATGAAAAACTGGTGGGTTGTAAATTGTAATGTTGGTTTCGCGTCTGCAGGTGCCATGAATCAGCTTGCAAAGAACTTCGCATGTGAATGGGGTAAAGATAACATTAGGACTAATAGTGTAGCACCATGGTTCACTAAAACCCCACTCATCGAGCATGTAATATACCAGCGTCTTCATCTTGCCCTTTTAACTGTACTGATTGATAGTTTTGTAATTCCCTTGTTGTTTTGTATATGCAGCTTGTTGAAAGCGTGGAGTTTCTGGAAGCTGTGGCATCTAGAACTCCTCTGAAACGCGTTGCAGAACCAAATGAAGTTTCATCTCTGGTAGCGTTCCTTTGCATGCCTGCTGCTTCTTACATCACTGGCCAAACCATTGCTGTTGATGGTGGATTTACGGTCAATGGATTCCCGTGAATGCAGCAACGTACGTACGAGGAGTATTTTGTGAGTGTAAACCTACTTGGGTGTGAACCTGCCATGAGTAGCTGTACCACCCTCTTTAGTTGACAAATGAATCCCTCCTTTGTTGACAATAAGAACTCAAATGGCAACTTCGTATGTTCACATAATGAACACAATAAATGGTAGCAGTAGTAATTGTAGGCTTGTTTAAGTATAAATAGAGGCTCTAACCTCAGTTGTAAGACACCACAAAACAGAGAGTGTAGTATGTAATACTTAGAGTGAGTATTAGAGGGTTGTTTCTTTTTTTTTGTAATATTGAGTGTGTAAGCTCTTCTCTTTTGTTCTAGTTCTGAATAAAAGTGTGTTTCAACCCCAACAAGTGGTATCAGAGCTTGGTTAAGCTCCGGGGGAAACATTCTCTGTTTTTTGGTCGAAAATTTTTTGTCTCAAAAACAATTTCGGAGTACACCGTTGGAAAGGTCTCGTTCTGAGGATTCCGAAAATATATATTTTTTTAAATTTTTTGACCACCGGAAGGCCTCCAAATCACCGGTCAAAGTTGGTCAAATCTGCCGGAAAAGTCGCCGGAAAAACCAGGGTTCGCCGGAGAAGACGACACTGTAGCAAACACTGTAGCAGTGACATCAGCAGTGAAGTCAGCAGCTGACAAAAGTTCTGGAAATTGCAGTTTAGCCCCTGTTCTTCCGGAAAGTGCAATTTGGCCCCTGTTTTTCAGAAAAATTGCAATTTTGGTCCCGTTTTTCAGAAAAATTTCAATTTAGCCCCTGTTTTACTTCTGTAAAAGTTCTGTTTGCCCCCTGAACTTCTGAAAAGTTCATATTGGTCCCCATACTTCAAAAAAAAGAAATATATATAATATATATATATATATATATATATATATATATATATATATATATATATATATATATATATTCTTACTCGTGTATGCCCAAGTATATGGCAAGAATGACTACACCAACCTCGTCATCTTCTCAAGCCGGAGTTGAAAGTTTTCAAAGGACCAGGAAAGACGGTAGCGTTACGTTACACTATCCAATGCTCACGAAGATGAACTACGCGGTGTGGGCCATAAAAATGCGAGTGAATTTACAAGCACAAGGAGTATGGGATGTAATTAAAAATGCAGAAACGGACGAACGTAAAGATCGGATGGCTCTTGCGGCTATTTATCAAGCAATTCCAGAGGACGTACTTCTGATGTTAGCTGAGAAGGACACAACTAAAGAAGCATGGGAAACGCTCAAGATGATGCACATGGGAGCCGATCGGGTCAAGGAGGCTAAAGCTCAAACCTTGAGAAGTGACTTCGAGGTGATCCGGATGAAAGACAGTGAATCGGTAGATGATTTTTCCATGAGATTGAATACTATCGTAACCGGTATTCGATCTCTAGGTGAAAAGATTGAAGAAATTACGGTTGTGAAGAAGTTTTTGCGAGCCGTACCGATACGATTTATACAAATCGTAACATCGATCGAGCAATTCGGAGATTTGAAGAATATGACGGTGGAAGAAGTTGTGGGTCGTCTTAAGACCCATGAAGAGAGACTTCGAAGCTATGGAGAAAAAGAAGAAGTACCTTCTCTATTGCTTACACATGCCGAGTGGGCATCTCGTTCGAAGCAAACTGGCGAGAGAAACTCGTCAAACACTTCAAGAGGACGAGGAGGACATGGTAACCGAGGCCGGGGACGAGGCCGAGGTCGTGGACGTGGCCAAGGAGGTGGTCGCGAGTACAATACAAATCAGAATGACCATAATCCTTCTCGAAAGGATAAAAGTAAAGTCAAATGCTTTACTTGTGAACAATTTGGTCATTATGCTTCGGAGTGTCCAAACAAGAATCGAGGTGAGGAGGCAAACCTCACTCAAGCCAACGAAGAAGAGCCTATTTTAATGATGGCAACCTCACAAGAATATGCACACAAAAAAGTGTCTTTAAGAGAGAAGATTTGTGTTAATCTTCTTGCATCGGGAGAAAGTCGAGTCGAGTCTGAGGTATGGTATCTCGACAACGGTGCTAGCAATCACATGACTGGAGACCGCTCAAAGTTTCACGAACTAGATGAGCACGTTACGGGCCATGTGAAATTTGGGGATGGTTCGACCGTCGCTATTTTGGGAAAAGGGTCGATTTTATTCGATAGCAAAAATGGCGACCAAAGACTCCTTAATGAGGTATATTTCATTCCAAGTCTAAAAAACAATATTATTAGTCTTGGACAAATGACGGAGGAAGGGAGTCGGGTCATAATGGATGGGTCGGATCTGACATTGTTTGACAGAAACAAAACTCTACTTTTGAGAGTTAAACGATCCCCAAACCGGTTATATAAAACTCCTTTAAGGACCGGTAGACCGACTTGTCTTTTAGCAACAAAAGACGAACCAGCTTGGATATGGCATTCTAGACTCGGTTATGTTAACTTTCTCGCCTTAAAGAAGTTGTCCGAAAAGAATATGGCAATCGGAGTCCCAAAGATTGAGCACCCAAACCAAGTATGTGAAGGGTGCGTTCTTTCCAAACAAACCCGAATTCCTTTCCCGGATCATGCAGTTTTTCGGGCTCAAAAACCTCTACAACTTGTTCATGCGGACTTATGTGGTCCGATCACACCTACGTCTGTTGGAGGGAGTAAATATTTTCTCCTTTTAGTAGACGATTTTAGCCGGTGGATGTGGGTTTACCTGCTATCGGAGAAGTCTCAAGCCTTGAGCGCTTTCAAACGGTTCAAGTTGATGGTTGAAAAGAATTCGGGTTATCAAATAAAGACACTTTGAACGGACCGAGGGGGAGAGTTCACTTCAAAAGAATTCTCATTATTTTGTGAAGAAAATGGTATTCAAAGGCATCTTACGACACCATATTCGCCTCAACAGAACGGAGTTGTAGAAAGGCGAAATCGGACCGTTATGGACATGGCAAGAAGTCTGCTCAAAGGTAGAAATGTTCCGGGAGAGTTTTGGGGAGAAGCGGTTAGACATGCAGTTTATCTTCTCAACCGCCTGCCAACAAAAGTACTTCCCGACAAGACGCCTTATGAAACGTGGTTTGGCAAAAAGCCCAACCTTGAACATCTAAAAGTTTTTGGTTGTGTTGCTTTTGCTAAACTTGTAGGTGGTCACTTGAAGAAGCTTGATGATCGAAGTAAGAAGATGGTGTATTTAGGTGTGGAAGATGGAACTAAAGGCAACCGTTTGTTTGATCCACAAGACCGAAAGTTGCGAGTTAGTCGCGATGTTGTTTTTGACGAAAAAGAAGAATGGAATTGGTACAAAAACAAAGAAGAAGAGATGGCGACTCCTAAGACCTTTACCATAATTGAACCACAACCCCAAATACACCTCGAAACACCTCAAAATGACCCCGAAATAAATCCGGAACAACCAAACAGCCCAGGAATCGATGCTATCCAAGTTGGACAACCATATGCTGAATTTGACGAGCCTGAACCAGCTCCACATACTCCTGTCTCAGCCCCGTTTTCTTCAACCTCGCCCCATATGGAAAGCCCTTCTAGTGAGATTGGGCCAAGGGGATTGCGTCCGTTAACCGATATTTATTCTGAAACCGAAAATGTGTTCCTTGAACCCGGAGAATTGTTGATGATTGCAGCGGATCAACACTTGAATTTTAAAGAGGCGGTAACCTCTAAGGCATGGCAGGAGGCTATGGAAACAGAGTTGGATGCAATCGAGAAGAACAAGACATGGCAACTTACCGATTTGCCACCCGGACACAAAGCAATCGGTTTGAAATGGGTGTTTAAAGTGAAGAAAGACAACTTGGGAAAAGTGGTGAAGCATAAAGCTCGACTTGTAGCAAAAGGATTTGTACAAAAGGAAGGAGTCGGCTTTGATGAAGTTTTTGCACCGGTAGCACGACTTGACACCGTAAGGCTCATTCTTGCCTTAGCAGCTCAACATGGGTGGGTTGTCCACCATCTCGATGTCAAATCGGCTTTTCTCAATGGAGATCTCAAAGAGGAGGTTTATGTCACCCAACCAGAAGGTTATGTTGATAGCAAGAGCACAAGTGGAATGATTTTCTATCTGGGAAGGAATGCGATAACTTGGCAATCCCAAAAGAAAAAGACTGTTGCTTTGTCCACGTGTGAAGCCGAGTTCATGGCAGCTACAACAGCAGCATGTCAAGCCATTTGGCTTGCTAATCTCGTGAAGGAGCTCACGGGACATCATATTATGCGTATCACCTTATATGTCGATAACAAGTCAGCAATCGCATTAATGAAAAATCCTGTGTTTCATGGTCGAAGCAAACACATTGACATTCGTTATCACTTCATACGAGAATGTGTTGAACGTGGGCAAATTATAGTGGAATATGTCAACTCGAAGGATCAACGGGCGGACATCTTTACAAAGGCTTTAGCATACGTGAAACATGGTGAAATGCGAAACATGATCGGAGTGACGAATCTCGAGCCAAGTTAGGTTTAAGGGGGAGAATGTGAGTGTAAACCTACTTGGGTGTGAACCTGCCATGAGTAGCTGTACCACCCTCTTTAGTTGACAAATGAATCCCTCCTTTGTTGACAATAAGAACTCAAATGGCAACTTCGTATGTTCACATAATGAACACAATAAATGGTAGCAGTAGTAATTGTAGGCTTGTTTAAGTATAAATAGAGGCTCTAACCTCAGTTGTAAGACACCACAAAACAGAGAGTGTAGTGTGTAATACTTAGAGTGAGTATTAGAGGGTTGTTTCTTTTTTTTTTTTGTAATATTGAGTGTGTAAGCTCTTCTCTTTTGTTCTAGTTCTGAATAAAAGTGTGTTTCAACCCCAACATATTTTGCGTAATGCTCATGGACTTCAATTGATGCAATGCTATCAAAATTACCATATTTTTCTTCACAATCTCAAGTTCGGAATGGCTTATGTCGTATTAATGTTTCATTGGATGTTTTAGCACTCTCTTTTTGTCTGTAATCTGTCAAGTTGTTTGTTTAGTAAAATTATGGTTAAAATAATTTGACTCGT